GTATGCGACGAAATGCCACCTTTCTCCGAACGACAATCCGCACTACTTGCCAGAGTGCATCAGAAGCATGCCAACACTAGCGATAAGAGAACTTGGATTGTCGGTGGCAAGGATGCGAACGCAGATGTGGCAGAGATGAAGATGGCCAAGGAGGGTGGCCTCAAGAGGACCTTCAGCACAAATACAAACGGCCATCACGCGGCTAACGGAGGCACGAACGGAACAAATGGCCACGGCAACGGTGTGAACGATTTGGCCGGCCTGGACATGAACAATCTCGGACCTGCCGAACCCAAGACGAAGGCACCAAACCTGGCCAGTGCCGCCCACTTGTCTCCTAACTGGGATGTGGGGTACAACAAGCTCCTGCTTAAGGGCGAGGGCGTGTTATATGAGGATGGGCAACTCCAAGTCGGCGTACGTTCCGAGTACAGAGGCCAGATGGCGTGCTTGATCTTGTACTTCAAGAACAAGACCCCTACGGCCCTGGGCTCATTCACCACAACACTAGATCTTGACGAAAACGAAAAGGGCAAGCTTACATGGGACGTGAAGAACCTGCCAGAGAGCACAATCTATCAGAATGGGCAGTCTCAGCAGGTCATCATGTTCGAGTCGAAGAAGGTGTTTGACAAGAGCCCGACAATACGTATCAGCTACCTTGCTGGTGCCCTGCAGGCTGTCACCCTCAAGCTTCCCCTCACCGCACACAAGTTCATGGACCCCGCGGATCTCTCCGCCGAAGACTTCTTCAGGCGCTGGAAGCAGATCGGCGGTGCCCCTCGTGAGGCACAAGCGATCTTTGGTCTGGCACCTGGAAAGTCGGATAGAGAGTTGAACGAGTTCTTCGTACGGCAGACGGTCGAGGGCTTCAGGTGGCGTGTTCTTGACGGTGTCGACCCTAACGCGAAGAACTTCGTGGGTGCCAGTGTCTTGCACACCTCAGAGGCTGGCAAGTTTGGTTGCTTGATGCGTCTTGAGCCGAACTACGGAACCAAGGTTTGTTTCACCCCTGATATCATACTAGCAACGATTACTGACTCTGCCTAGATGATTCGTCTCACGATCCGCGCCACAGACGAGAGCGTCCCTGCTGTCCTCCTCAAGGTCATGCAGGACCGTCTTGCTGCTGGCTTCACGCAAGAAAAATTCCAAGCCCCGACACCATCCGAGATATCGGACGCATTTAGCAACATTCTGGTTACATAGCGCGAAAAAAGGAGGCAGTCTACACCACCGTTGTAATACACATTTTCACACAAACCAAAATCACTTTCTTCGTAATGACACATACCCCACAACACTTTTTGCCTTCTTCGTACCCCTTTCTTGTTTGCCTTGCTGTCATCTCTTGGTTTCGGTTCTGAAAGTGTTCCCTTTTTTGTATCTGCATGGCAAAGCTACTAGGGGTGGCGTCGGGAGGCATCGTGGTAGCAGTCGTTTCCGTGTTGAGGTAGTTGAAGAAGCCCCTTTTGGGTGGTGGGAGGTGTTGTCATTGGGGGACTTAATGAAAAGTACATGTTTGTCAAGATTGATCTTCATGATGCGCATATTGTCTGTGCTAAAGCCTTCCTGTTCGATTCTCTCGCACAGCGCCTGCCTGCTTGATCTATGCGACACCCGCCCCGAGATAAAGATGCGGTTGGCCTCAGCCATCGTCGGACCCCTTACGTTTTTTCCTGTCGAAACAAACAACGCCTTTCAGAGACAGCCAACGAAACCGGGTTTCCAGTCACCGCATCCGCATGTCAGCTTCTCGATAGCTGCCGCTCACCTGCATCAATCTCTAACTTAAACCGTCCCCGCCACGAGAGAGCTCTCAAGCTTTAACATCTATCTCTCCTTCCTGTTAGCTCGCCGGTGGCGTGTGAATAGTGTTCCCTGTCGAGAGCGACCACCGCTGACTAGCTGTAAGCCTGCATCGTATTGCCCGAATACCCAGGCCCAGAGCCGAATAGGAACTTTGAAACTTTCTTGAGCCCGAGGCTCGTTATCGCAATGCTCGCGTGGTCTTTGTACCATGAAAGATTATCCTCAGTCCATAGTCTAGACCACCACCTGAGCTTTACTTTGTCCTTAGTCCAATCGTCAGTGTCAGGAATGGCGAAGAGTGCCAGCTCCTGTTGGTGCTTCCCAACATGGTTTTCGTAATCCATCAAGGGCATATTATCGAAGCAAAAAGGGCACGAGAGTTCCATTTCATCATCCATGGGAAAAGACCTGATCATGCTATCGGTGTAGCCGTTAGGAAAGTAAGATAGATCATCTGAATGCTGTGTTTTCAAATGCGTGCTACACTCCGATGCTGACGAGAATGTGCAACCGCATCTAAATATGCAGTAAAACAGTATGAAGTGATGTTTGCGCATGTGTTTCATCCACTCGTCGCTTGTAGCGAGATTCCGGTCTGCCGCCTCGCAGTCTTCTTCCAAGCAATTGTACGGCTGCAGGTCTTCGTATACGTGTTGTCTGAGAATGATTAGCAGCGGCAATCGAGGTTCCAGAGGCTACTTTAGTTACCTCCAGGTAATATCGTCTCGAATATCAACGAGTGTGTAGCAAAGTTGGCATACGAATGGCCCACCGCGTGCTTCTTTCGGCATGTCTAGGATCGACGACGACCGCTGGGCCCCTGCAGACGTGGAGTTTTGGAAGGTCACTGAACCGATAGCGTCCTCTGAAGATGAGTCCTGGTAGATGTTGGTCTGTGAGACTTGGTTCAGGTGATCTGGAATGAAGGATGCCGCAGGATCTTGTGGGACCTCCATCATGTTGTGACCCATCTGGCCATCTACACAATGCAAAAGCCTCTCTTGATGAGCCTTCCTGTACTCGATATGCTGACGCCGCCTCGATATGGCCGTCCCTAGTCGCTGTGCAAGATAAGCTTGGATGCCCTCGAACTTTGTGACTACGTGCTGGGTCGCTAATGCCTCAAATGCAGAGGTATCTGTATGATAGCTAAGGTATCGGTCCCATTGACATGGATCCTTAATCGTGTCGTTAAGTCTCGTAAGACAGTCGACGATGTCAGGAACTTGTTCTACGAATACTTTTATGTCTGCGGAAATATCGGGATCATCGTCCACAATCGAGTCTAAATGAAGTATGAGACGATTTCTTCTTGATTCGAGCTGCAATCATTCAACGTACCTGGTGCCGACCACAGATCCTTGAAAGCCTTTCTGATTCTCTCAAGGATATCAAGGAGGCTTTTTAAGAGCTGACGAACGTGGTCTCTGAGTTTTGAATCATTGCGTAGCCGGCATTCGAGGGAAAGGCTGTTGGTATTGTGTATTTCATGTATTTTGGCCCAGACCTTGAGAATAGCTTGCTCATCCGCAAGCGTTGGTTTAGCTTTGGGAAATTTGAAAACCAAGAGACCAGTGCCAGGGCTTAGGTCAATGTTTAGCAGGTGAGAGAATTGAGCTTCCGCTCTCGATACAAGACTCGCGATACTTTCTACCATCCTCTCGATGAGACAGCATGAATATGAAGGCTGTAGTAGGCCGGTAAGGCTGTATCTGATTGCTGTTAATGCTTTTTTCAAGCCATCAGAGATTGACGCTGGCGACGCGGATTTAAATGCCAGCGTTCCACATAACGGACAAAGGAGCAAACATCCACGACGCTGTTCAGGTTCAGCGGCAACGAGGTCACGTTTCTTTCCTCAATCACACGTGTGACATTGAACAGAGTTTCATTGTCTTTGGGCAAACGAAGATCCCGCTTCATGCACAAAAAAGTCAGTCGGCGGTGTGGACTTCAGACTTGTGAATTCCACGATGCTGTTTCTCGTCGCTTCTCTCCCAGTCGTTGGACACGTTTCAGCACGTAATGTCAAGCATCAACTGGTTCAAGAGACGTTTTGGCCTTGATACTCAAAGAAAAGTGGGCAAAATCTCACCTTCTAAGCCAAGTTCTCCTGTTCGTTACATGTAATTTCAAGAGAGGCCAGATGGACTGAAGAGTCAACGATTACAAGAGAATTTAAGCTTGCAACTCTGCTCCCAACGCTTCCAGCCACGAATAAGAACGTGTTTAGACTATTTAGAAAGACATGACACCTCTGCAGTCCATGATTTCCCAGAGGCCCAACATTGAAACTGCCTGAGAAAGGCGGTAGATAGGTATTGAACTTGAAGTAACTGGGCTATTTGATCGGATTGCTGGAGGTGGAAGATTTGCGATAACATTACACATCCATAGACAATGTTTGATCATCGAGAGGCCACTGCAATAGCTCTATGGCTCATCAATATCAGTGTTGCTGTCATCCCTGGGTTTTCGGTTCTGAAAGTGTTGCCCCGTTCATGGCAAAGCTACTCGGGGTGGCGTCGGGAGGCATCGTGGTCCCAGTCGTCTCCGTGCAGTTGAAGAAGCTCCTGTTAAGGGGTGGAAGGTGATAGCGTTGGGAGACTTAATGAAAAGTACTCTTTGTCGAGATTGGTGTCTGGATTGGTCTTGTCATCTGGCCATGAGGCTTTCTGTTTGGTTTTTTAATGGAGCCGGTCTGCCTACCCTACGCTACCAACACTGGATGAAAGGTCAGTTTGATACGATTGACGCCAAAGGCAGCCTGGGGCTATTACATGGATGACGTCCTCGCCGCCTCCCCCATAGTGCCTGCTAAGAGACAGGCGCTTTTCATACTGACGACTTAACGGCCTTCTTAATCACAATAAGCTAGCAGGAATCGTCACTTAGAGCCTGTTCGGCCCTTCTGGCCCCCAGAAGAATCGGTGACGCGCTTAAGTATATGATAGTTGATGATGTAACTCATAGCCATCAATGTAGAATCCGGGTTGACCGACTTGTGCAGCCTCGATAGGTCTGAAGACGGAAGAAGAGTTTGTTTAATTATGCTGACTTGGCCTGCATACGAATCACCTAACTATCTACTTCTCTAGGCGCTATGGGTATTGAGAGACATCAACATGTCGTCCAGAACCTGTCTGAGCCACAGGGCTTCTTGCTTGATTTTATCTCCCAAAGCTCATCTACTTCCGTTGGGCAAGGTCCAAGAAATCAAGAGTTGTTCTGCGATGCCGGTCGTCATGTTCCGCCTCTTCGTACGCTTCTTCTCGGGAAACCCCGCCATTTCCTGCAAAAGGTCGAGGGTATCTAGGGGTGAAGTCTCGCATAGAATTGTCGTCTGCGCCGCTCTTATCATGAAGCCAGGCTGCCGGACTCGACTCGCCGGGCTCGTTGTTGGAGCTTAAGGGTTCTAGAGCGGCGGCCTGGGCGATATCTGGCTGTGTGCCGTTTCCGAGGTGGTCCACTAAGACGGCATCGCCTTGAAGAAGCAATATATCCTCAGTTTGCTGTTGTTCGATCCCTCGACCTCCGGTATTGAGCCGATCTTGAAGATCATCTGTGTCCTCTATATATATTTGTAATCTTTGCATCAACGCGGACGTGGAATAATCATTCGCGTTGCTGTACGCTTCTTGTTCTACCTCGGTCTGATACTCAGGCGCTGGATGGCCGGAGTATTGCTTGGGATAAGAAAGGGATCCATCAGGCGACGAGTTTTCGGCTGCAAACGCGTGAGCTCGTTCCAGATATTCAGGTTTCCTACCAGTGCTCATACCTGCAGGACTTTGTGCTGCTCGTCGCTGCCTCTCCGCTTCCCATCGTGCAGGGTCAACCTTCGAAAAGTCAAACATGACCTACAATATCATTAGTATAGGGGGATCCGATCAATCTGTTCACCTGACATACGTTTGTTAAGTTGAAGGAGGATGTGATGTGGTAGCCCTGGGTGTCCTGCCCAGTTTGAGGGTTCTTTAAGATTTCCTCATTAGTTCTGCAACGCGAATATGAAGCTTTCGGGGGGGGGGGGGGGTTTATCGAAGGGGTTTCTTACTTCATAATGTCCAGGGCTCACTGAGGCGTCGTCTCCGAGATGGTGGCGGACATCAGTAGTGATGACCTCCCGATCTATGCCGTCTTGTGGCACGAAGTATTCGTTCATTCTGACAGGCGATGAAGCTCGACTACTCGAGGTTGATGGGGTTGGCTGGTGCCCACGTTGTTCTTCTGGCGGCGTTTCGACCTGTTGCTCCCAATTTTCCGCGGCCGAGAGTTCAGGCTCTAGCTCGTCCTCAGTCTCTGAGCAATCAGTGTTTGAGTCCAAACCTGAGTTTTCCTCCGTAGCCTTGCCAATCTTTGAGGTATCTTCATCCGCATAATTGTTGATGGGAAGGGCAAACAAGGCTAGCTGCCGTTGATGCTTACCAACATGACGTTGGTAGTTCTGCAGCGATGGCATGGTCTCGAAACAAAGTGGGCAAGGAACTTTCGCGCCCTCATCCAAGGGTTGAGAACTCAGCATAACTAGGTTGTCGATCTGGTCGCCGCGTACCATCTTCCGATGTTGCGTCTCCAAGTGTTCTGCAGACTGAGACGCAGAATTGAAGGTACGGTCACAATCGAAAGGGCATCGCCATACCCTTAAGTGACGCTGCAGCATGTGTTCCATCCACTGATGTCTCTTGCCGAACTCTCTACCTGGCGTAATGCAGTCTTCGGCCAGGCAGTTGTACGGACGTAGGTCGTCGTATACATGTTGCCTAGGGATAGAGGTTAGCTAAGGTAAAGTTAACGTATGTGATGGGATGGTGAACTACCTCCAAGCATGAGTGTCTCTTATCTCCACGAGCATGAAGCAAAATTGGCATTCAAATGGTCCGTCATATGCTTCCTTTGGAAGATCTGGGATTGACCTTGCTTGTGGGTCACCTATGGATGAAGCTTCGTACGAGGTCACGGAAGCCATCTCTTCTCTTGAAAAAGATTCATCATACTGATTAATCTGCGAAAGTTGCTTCAAGTAATCGGGGATAGAAGATGCCACTGTACTCTGTAGGATCTCCGTCCTGTTAGTATCTGCCTAGTCATCCATAAGATGCGAAAGCTTCTTATGGTAAGCCTCCCTATACTTGAAGTACTGACGCCGACTCGAGATTGCCTTTCCTAGGAGCTGCGCAAGCTGATCATCAATTCCCTCGAATTTTGCGCTCACGTGTTGGATATCGTGATACTCATACGCCGTGGTGTCTGTAAGCTTCGCTCCACTGAAGCGATCCGATCGCACTGGATTCTGAATCATGATAACGAGTCGCATGAGACAATTGATGATATCAGGAAAGTCTTCCATGATTGCGTCAAGCTCTGTGACTATGTCCTCATGGCTCTGGCTGCTACCATCGAGCGTGCTTGGTGGCGATTCCAGGTCCTTGAAAGCCTTGATAGCATCATCAATGTTTTCGATAAGTTCCGTCAGGAGCTTCCGAACATGAAGTCTTAAATTCGACGCATCGCGGAGTCGATACTCAAGGGAGGAGCGGTCGGTTTTGTGCGCGCCAACGTTTCCAGCCCAAATTTTGAATCTAACCTGCTCATCCTCAAGCTTTCGGAGAGTTTTCAGAGGTGATGGATGAGATGATGAGCCCTGGGCGACTTGCAGCAGATGGGAGAATTGAGCTTTCGCCTTCAACACCAAGTTCGCGATACTGTCCACCATATTGTGCTTGATGACGGGCGCCATTTCTCGTAGATGAAGGATGTGATTTTGGAAGATGAAGGGTGAATCAGTTTAGAGACGCTACATCTGACTGATATTTTTGGGAATTCAATTTATAACATACTACTGTAGCAGGCGTTGGGTGACTGTTCATTCTTCTTTGTTCGGGAGGACAACGAGCGGATGTGCGCCGTGACTCTGAGCGCATGTTCCACGGCAGCGCTTAGGGTCACGTTTCCAATCGAATGAGGTATTTGGCAACAGAGATAGGAAGCCCCTAACATTTGAGAAAATTACGACCCCGCCTTATGGCATGAATAAATAAAACCATGCTGTGTTGATCAGGCTGGCCAATCCCATGGAGGTGCACTTCCGGGCCAACTGCGGCACTGTGACCCGTCACTTCTCTTCCACTTCCTGCTCAGCAAACTCCAAAACTTCCACACAAATCCTCACCATTAGTGCCGAATCGAACATGTCTGGCTTCGAGATAGCCGGTCTCGTCCTAGGCAGCATTCCCCTCATTACCAAGGCTTTCGACGACTACAAGAGAGTCATTGCGACAACGAGGACCTGGCGCAATTATGACCGTGAGGTGAGGGGCCTAATTAGGAACTTGATGACAGAGCATATCAGACTTCAGAACATCTGCGAGAAGCTCCTCTCCTGTCTGGTATCACCAAACGATTTCGAGCTTATGATCGAAGACCCATTCGGTCCGCTATGGAAACAAGAAGGAGTGCAGAGAAAGATCAAGACGCGACTTTACAGATCGTTTGACACGTTTCAACATGTCATGGAAGATATGGAAGCAGCCATTAATGATATCAAGCAGTGTCTCGGGCTTGACGCTCAAGGAAAAGTTGGGAAATGCTCTCGCTCACAGCCAAATACCACATTCGCTAACTTCAAGAAAGGCGAAGTGGACTGAGGAGTCTACAATAATAAAGGAGTTCAAGCGCGCAAGCTTTGCTCTAAACAAGTCGACATACAAGTATGCGATTGATACTATCCGGAAAGACATCACGGCCCTGGAGTCCATAATCGATACGAACATACACATGGAACCAGCCCGAAAACAACGATACAAAGGAAGGCTGGCTGGCCTGATACGTCAAGTATCTGCAAACATGTACTTTGCACTGAGGAATAGCATATCCTGCGACTGCGATTGCAGGCATCAAGTCCACCTGGACCTCACGCCCGATTCCGAGGATGCCACCCACGATCTGGACGATGCTGCGATAATCGAGAAGATTGGGCTCCAACTCGCCATGACATATCAAACCGACACCGGCCGAGCGATTTCCGAGAAACCTGGTCAACAAAACCTCTGGGAAGAAGTCACCGTCAGAGCCTCCGCACCACAAGCCACCTACACATTGGAGACAACACCAACGCCCCAATCGCCTGCTCGACCGAAGCGAAAAGTCGTAAGCTTTGCTTCATCGCGACAATCAACGATTACTACGACTCGCATCGAACAGCCGACCATCGCAAGAGCGATGATGAGCACAATGCCTGCTCTTAATCTCAGTTCTAGGTCGATCAATCTCACCAGACAAGTCAACTTGTGTGCAGAGCTACGCAGAGGTCATGAAAAAGCCGCTACGGATATTTATGGCACGATATCTCATCAGAGCGCCGGGAAGTCTTGGAAGTTCGCCGTATACCCTAAGGCACAACCAAATAATCAACATGTGGGGTCCGTGATGTCGCTGAAACAGATTCTGGAAGACCCCCTCAGCGTAGGAATACCCTACGTGGCTAAACTTCATCTGGCTAAGATGATCTCTTCAAGTTTCCTCCAACTTCACCAAACTCCTTGGCTACCAAATATTCTGACAAACCAAGACGTCTTCTTCATCAAAAACGACTCGCAGTCTTTGCTTGATTATAGGCAGGCCTTCATCATGAAAGAATTTCCCGAAAAGGCTAGGGAGGATGTTTCCTTGAATTCTGATGCCCGCAATCCCGCACTGCTTTCGCTTGGAATCCTTCTCTTAGAGCTCAAGCTAGGCACTACTATCGAAAGACTGCGACACCGGTACGAGATGTCGGGAGACGGGACCCGCAACTTTGACTATGATGCGCTCGTCGCGCAGAGATTATTGCAAGAGATGCCTGCAGATAGCGAATACTTTATGTCCGCGGTCCAGCGATGTATAGGCGCGGGTTTCGGACGGTCCAAGCTGGATTTGAACGATGAGGCTTTCCGACAAGACGTATATGAGAAGATAGTCGCGCCGTTGGAAGCTGACCTGGCGGCTTCCACCCTATGATTTACGGGCTTTACCCCGGTTGGATGTGACACAATGTTGAGATGGATTTTGCACCTTGCCCGTAAGGAGTCTCTTTAACGCATACATGACTAGTGAGATGATGACAATGGAAGCATCACAGGCTAGTTATTCAATTTGAGTCTTGAGGTCCTCGTCCAGTCGCTGTTTACGGAAGGAGCGCGACATCTCGTAAACTTTGCACTGAAGTCAGTCACTCTGAGGGTAGACTTTGAATCTAGCCTGCTCATCCCTAAGTTTGAATCCAGTGTAAGAAAGACCATACAAGAAGACGTTAAGGGGTCCAACTTTGTAAGTCTGCGACAGGTCAGAGAAAAGAGCTTCTGCTTTCGATACGAGACCCGCTAAACTGCCTGCTTTCGGTTCTGAGGGACGACGCGGGAATTCATGGTAAGGCTGTTTCTGGCTTGTTCTTTTTCCTTTTCAATTCATCAGCGAGCTGTTGGATAGGCGGATTTATATGCTGTTGTCCCGGATGACGAACAAAGGAGCACAGCGAGACTGTTCAGTTTCAGCTGCAACGAAATTCTTCCCGAATGACATCTAACATTGAACATGTTTTCATTGTCTTCATCCAGGTGATTTCATCGCGTTCTTCTTGGACTGGGCTGGATCATACTGATTCGACGAGAAGGCACCTCATCGTTGTTCGCGTGCCTCTCCTCCACACCGCCCTCTTGGCCCTCGCTTTCGATCAGTATGGAACGTTTGCCAGAAGATCCATCTCTTTGCAAAGTCCCTACCACACCAATTTCGATCTTGTCGTCTCCTGAAAATGAAAATAGGAAGCAACCGCCGTGATGGCATAGAGACGACTCCATTGCACCTCAGTACCAAGACACCTCGTCAAGATCTTCCATCCTCACTCATCCGTGAAGCAGCGCTATTCCAACGTTCTTCAAAGCTGCTGTCTCTCTTCAGCCACCAGCCTTGCTGGTTATCACCTTTCTCCTCCGGCATTTCGAATTCGACGTCCCAGGGCAATAAGCGACGAGAAGACACTTGACCACCTTTCTCTCCCTTTTCCCTGCTGACCTCCTGGCCCTCGCTCGCGTTAAGGATTGAAACTGGGCCTGAAGAGCTGGATTCTAAGCCACGGCCTTGCCATAACATTTTCCATCGCCTCCCCATGCGCTCCTCATAATCTTTCTGGGGTTCATCACTCCGCCGCTCCCCACACCTTTCTCTCTCCGCTTCACGCTCTTCGCGTTCTCTCAAATCTCGAGCGGTAATTTCGCGCATCCATTTTCTCATCATTTTCTTGTACTCTGCCTTTTTTCTTCGTTTCATGTCAACTTGTGTTCTCAATAGAGGCTCACTTAGCAAAGCAAACACAGCCGCTTCCCTTTGGTGTTCGCCCACGTGAGATTGATACTGAGCAATAGAACCCATGGTTTGAGAGCAGAAGGGACAAGACGTATTTGTTTCCTCCTTCATCGGACTAGAACTGAGGCTGATCAAGGTATCTAGTTGACTCGGGGGTATCATGCCAGGATGCCGTTGACTCATGTGGGCAGCTGACGCGATCGCATTTGGGTAGGTCTCATTGCAGCCTAGTGGGCATTGATATGTTCTCAAGTGGTTGGCGAGCATGTGCTGCATCCAACGAGTCTCTTCCGAGTACTGCTGGATAGGAATTATGCAATCCCTGGAAACGCAAACATATGGTTGTAGATCACTCAGTACGTGATCCCTTTAATTTTTTGAGTTAGTCTAAATACGAAGTGCATGAATGAAAGCATTGAATTGCTATGCTATCTTACTTACATCCACTTATCTTGGTCACTGTGGCTGAGTATCAGCGTCATATTGCAATATGGGCACTGGAATTCATCTGATGTCGACTTGAGAAGCACACTCTCCACCTGGGCCACGATGCCCAGTAAGATATCGCGAGTCCCTTCGTACAAAGTGGATTCCTCGTCTGGACTTGTTATCCGCTTGAAATCGTTGATCAATGACTTTGAGATTGTCAGAGGGGTTGATTCGGCGGCTTTCTGATGTTTGCTACTTACGCCGGAGAGTTGCTCGTTGAGAGGTAGACTCGAATTTGTTGATGTTCGATCATAGGCTCTTTGTCTCAGTGTTTCTCGTCTTTGGAACACTGACTTGCCCAGGCGGTCGGCTAAAAACTCTTCGATTTTATCCCATGTCTCTTGAAAGAAATTGACATAAAGGCTATAGTCTTCTGGTTCTCGTCTCAGTTTTGCAGACATGATACGGTTGTGAGGAGCGGGGTCTCCGGTCGCGACACGGAGTCTTAACAAGCAATCGATCAGTCCACGGATTCCCGTCGCTATCTGTTGGAGTTCCGTTTGTGGTTCCGTCATAGAATCGCCCGAGGTGTTTTCTTGGTAGCTCAGCTTATCCCATGGGACTATCTGTCCAGTAAGGATCTTTTCTGCATCGCCTATTGACTCTTTTAGGCCGTTCAGTAATTTGAGGAGTTGGCGTTGAATATGCGGTGCGGTGCGCAGATGGTGGTCTAGATATCCTCCGTCCAACTCAGTGACATCGCGAGTGGTGAAGTCGGCTTGCCACGTCTTCAACCGGAATAGATCGCTTTTGAGACTCGGAAGTTGGGATGCGACAGAAGGTCCTCCGTTGTACGGTCGCCACATTCTGATTAGCTCTTCGAAAGAGATAATAACTTCGAAGGCGACATCTCCAAGGAATGGCGCCATGTTGAGACGTCAGCCTGGTGTGAGAAGAAGCGATGTTGCCATGTCTTTGGAGTCCTATGATGCTGGTTCAGTTTTGCCAGTATGGAATACGTCCCGGCCGAGGACGGCGATAAAGAGGCTGGCTAAGCTTCGTCGAATTAGTTTCTGAATGGGAACCGAACTGCATTGATATGTATCTGTTTCAAAAGCCAATGAACAACCTTGTACCTCAAAGATGTATTTACCGACGTGTAGAATGACGCTAGATGAGACGACGAAAGTAAGGCACGTATGAAGGACATGGGCGCTGTTGTTGTGGTCCACGTAGATGGTGGGAAACGCGGCGAGACGACTCGAGTCTATCTTGAAGGTCTCCTGCGATTGATTATCGGGAGTTTCCCCGCACCGACGAGAAAGCGCCGCGTCGGGCTGGCCTATGATAGTCGGGCGCTTATCTCCCCTCAATGTGCAAATAATGGAGAGGAGTCGCCTGATGTGCTGACATCTTCCGGATATGAATTTTAACGACTGAACATGAGCAGTTAGGCTATGGTGATATTTGAAGGTTTCTGGCCAGCATTGAACGATGTCCGGTATCGAGGTGGTGGGCGTGGTCCTTGGTACCATACCGCTGCTCATATCCGCCCTGGAACATTACCGACACGGCGCCTCAGCGATACGGATTTGGCGGAGGTATGACAGAGAACTCAAAAGCCTAATAACCGACCTAGAGAACGAAAGGATCAGGCTTCAAGATGTGAGTGAGAAGCTTCTCACTGGCATCGTTCCGGACTCTAAGGTCGATGACATGGTCAACGACCCATTTGGCCCCGCGTGGCATGAGGATGCCGTTCGTAAGATGATCGAAGCGAGGCTTTGGAACTTGAGGCCCTATCAGATCTTGCTAGAGAAGGTTGGAGAAATCAAGTTGGCTATCGAAGATATAGCAAAGTTAATCGATCTGCCGCTAAATGAAGAGGTAAGGACAAGTCTTGCACCCCAAGAGTATTTACGTGCTCATCCTGATTCAGCATCCATCATCGAACGGCGCACCTCTGGCTACAGCACTAAAACGCATCATGTTCGCTGTCGGAAAGTCCACGTACACGGGATCAATGACGATCATAAAGAACAATATCACCGACATTGAGTCGCTGATCGATCGAAGTATCGAAATGGCCCCTAAGAGAGAATCACGAGCGCGAGGCAGGACAATGCAGTTAGTTCACGAACTAGCAGGAAGCCTTCACCAAGCGCTATTATCCAGTTTTCCAGGCAATTGCTCGCATGAGGTATACATGCAAGTTATGCCGCAAACGCCAGGGAGAGTAGCTCGCCGGAGTGACGAGGAGATTCTGCAGAATATTGATGTTTATATGTCCATGAACTTCGGCATCGCTGACCAGGCTGGCGGCTTTCATCAAGGACCTATGTGGGAAGAGATCGTGATTCGCTACCATCAACTCAAAAAGCCCAGACGCTCAGCCGACACCAACAAACCAGTGGGTAATGACGTCCTTCAGGGCGCCCCGGACTCTGATTCGAAGATCACTATCGCTGCTCCAAACCCGATAGTCAACCTTTGCGAAGAAATACGCAAGCGACATATCCAAGGCGGAACCGGCTCTTATGGAGAAATCACAGACAAGACTTCGGAAAAACCCAGAGAATATCGTGTCTACCCTGGCAAATGCCTGCCCGGTCGTGATGCCTGGAGTGCTGTAGCTCTGCGGGAGGTTCTCGAGGACCCGAGCAAGTATTCCGGTTTACACGGGCAATACGTGGCAAAGAGGAAATTGGCTGCCTCTGTTTCTGTCGGCTTCCTACAACTACATCAGACGCACTGGCTACCGGATATGATTACAAGTCAAGATGTCTTATTCTTGAAGAAGGACTCTCTACTTCGCTATAGCGACACCTTTGTCATGGCCACCCTACCAAGTCTAGACGGAAGATTAGGGAAACAAGCGGCCCCCTTATTAGGTTGTCGGAACCCAGCTTTAGTTTCGCTCGGTATCCTCCTCGCAGAACTTGGGTGCGGGAAGACCATGGAGTCGATGCGAAATACCGACGAAAAGGCAATGCTCGGCGTGTCACGGCTGCTGTGCGATAGACTGACAGCGTATCGAGTTTTGCGGCACGAGCTTGGAGGTACAACTTACGCCAACGCGGTCAGATGTTGTATCGAGGAAGAATTCAACCGAGAACATCTGGACTTGACTGATCAGGATTTCCGGCAAGTGGTGTATGAACGAGTCGTGAGGCCGATGGAAGATGAGCAGTATGGATATGTATAATGAATTATCGTGTATCGAGCTCGTTAATGGGACCAACTGCCCTGAGGAATGTTATATACCTACATTGATATTTGCCTGGAGTAATATTCGTTCACGAGGTTCAGAAAACAAACCTGACAAGAGGGCATTCCCCAGTGATGATGCCTGCGATTACATGGCTAGCGAACAAGAAGAAACGAAAAGAACCCAGGAAACAGACTCAACCCTGAGCCATGATTTTCTAAGGCACTCATGTTGTAATGCTTCCTAGTCCCTTAGTGATGAGGTAGCTTAAGTAGGTTGGAGCTTCGTGGCTATGGACAAGAGGGGGTAGGTATCCCAGACATTGAGGTTTTTTGGTCCGTGCCAAACAAAGTAAAAGCTAAAATCGCGCGCACCTGTCAATGTTCAGCTTCACAGTCTCTCACTTCTCACACACTCAGAATAGCCACAATGACCTATCTTCAACTCCAATAACCCAGAACACCAAAACAGACATCATAAATACTCAGAAGGCAAAAGAATTGACCCCCACCCGATTTGAACGGATAACCTTTCGATCTGGAGTCGAACGCGCTACCGTTGCGCCAGAGGGCCAGATGCTGATTGTTGAAGATTTTCGGCAAAAATGCCGCAGATGAAGGGCCGTGGATAGACGACCTGCGGCTTCGGAATCGGGGGACTGCCCGTCTGCGGGGTTCTGCTCCACCTGAGGCATTGAACACCCCAGTTCGGCCACAACCTAAACCACCACGTGGGCGCAACAACTCGACGTCGACGACGATGAACGGGAATTCTTCAACAAACGGAGACTCTTGGGAGGGGCTGCCTACTTGTAGATTGAATCGATAACGATGCTGCCGACATATCCGTCTACTCCACAAGTTCGTCAGTAACACGGCGAGTTGTCAAAGCTCTTGCGAACCAGCCACCATATGTTTGCGTATGGCGTTTCCATTCAAGCGGCGTTCTTGAGCCAGACTTCAGCCCGAACAACTTGTGACAGCGGGTGATCGGCATTCCATCTCGATTTCGATTTAGTATTACAAGCGCTTATCCCGCTGCCCGTTGATTGTGATGTGCGATTTGGGCTCCAGCGATTTGAGTTGCTTGCATCGGAGCTCGATTACCGTCTTCGGCAGGCGGCAAGAAAACTGCCCTAGCACGACCTCCAAGCGACTCCAAAAATTCCAAGCCTCGGTCGCATGCACGGTCAGCAGCGTCCATCCTGGGCCTTGGGGTCGATGGCTTGTCAATTATGCTTTTGCTGGTTGGCGGGATTGCCCGTTCAATGTCCGAACCGACAACCTTCAACTTGGCAATGGCAGAATCATGAAACGAGCTGGATTTAGATTTCTTTAGCTGCCTCTTTCAGCGAGCAGCTTGAGCGTCGACGATCTACAGTATCTGTTGTGGACGTCGCCGCCAGCCGAGACTTGCGTATCTTTGAGGAACTGCTGTGTTATCGCAGACGTTCCCCATCAGTGTTACGCATGATTTCGAGGGCAGAACAGTGGGTAAAAGGTTTATGTATTACGGAGCCATCGTCAGAGAGCTTCAAGGGCCCTCGCTCCTCAGTAAGACTAAAGTATATGCATGAAGTCATCCACGAGGCCGGCCAAATAGCCTACCTCACAATTAAGTAGTAATCATCCCAGCCACCATCTCCCAGAGCTTTTCACCAATGCGCAAAACCTCGCACTGAGAAACCCTCTTACAAGACAGCCTTACCGAGGTTGTTGTTGAAGTTGGCATCCTTCATGGGCACGTTGGCGCTGCCAAAGTCGGTGTTGGTGAGCGCGGTGCGCGCGGCATCAGTGAGAGACTCCCACGCGATGAGGGGCTGCTGGCCGCCGACGTCGCTGGTGAAGATCATCTGGTGGTTGACGGGCCAGACGCTCTGGTAGCCGATACGGGGGCTGGTGCCGGTGTAGTCGATGCCCGAGGTCTTGGTGTCGTACTCGCCGTGCGCGGAGACGGCGACGCCGAGGACGGTGGCCGAGGTGGAGGCGGCGGACAGCCAGACGACGGCGTTCTCCCAGTCGTGGCGGTGGCCCAGGCCGGAGGAGGGTGAGTCCTTGGGCATGTAGTAGGAGTACATGATGGCGTAGGCGCCGTTGTAGGAGGCGCCGCGGGCGTAGACCTGGCCGGTGCTGGAGGAGCATCCCCCGTTTGAGGAGCCGGAGGTGGCGAGGCCGCCGCTGTGGATAACGGGTTAGAGATGGACTGAGTGAGGTGCTTGTTTAAGTGAGGTGAACATACCCAGTGTCACCAGCAGCGTTCACGGCGGGGAAGGGCACACAGCCGTTGACGACCTTCAAGTAAGGCTTGTACTTGAGATACAAGCTACCGACGGTGCCTGAGGGAACGGTCTCGGGGAAGCCAACGACGGCATCGTGAGCAATGACGGCACGGCGTTCGAGAGGAGCGGCAGTGACTGTGCCGGCAGCGGCAGCGAGCCATGCACCGAGTCGGAGGAGAGAAGGCGCCATCGTGAACCGAAGGTATGATTGGATATGAAGAGGTGGCGAAGGAGGTGTGAGATGAAGAGGTAGATAAGTAGTCTCTCAGATGAACCGGGAGATCGTCTCTAAATATGTGTATCCGATGTCTGAAACTGTCACGACTGCAGATGACGGCTGTGACGTGGGGAATCTGACTCGGCGGAGGGAAAGAAGACTAGCAAACTTGGATGTTGTGATAGACCAGGCCTTGTTCCTGCGTCCGATCAGCGTCGTCTTGCATCTTATAGCTCCTCCCCCGACTCTCGTCGTCTTCTCGGTCCTCTCACGACATGCCATTCATCCACGCGGGCCAGAGAGAGGGTGTCAGCAAGGGGCCACAGCAACCAGGGCGACACGAACCAATATCCCACAAAGCTCATCATCTCCGAGGCTACGGCGCCCCCCTCTGAATGTTAGATGGTTAATCATTCGAGCATCTGAGCTTGTCTACGACCTCTTGACCCCGCCCGTGGCATGGCATTGCGACGCAATTGGGCCATGTGAGGTCTGTAAGGACAAGGGACAAATGCCGCGTGCCGGTGCTAGCAGCCCGAAGCCCCCCTCACCAGCTTCATGTTCTACCGTTCTCTATAGTAGGACCCTTGAGAGGGAAAAACGGTCGATATCGTGGAGTTAAGGGAACCACTGCGGCCAGCTGCCCGTTGGGGGCCACAAAGGAGAAGGTGGTTGGAGAGAAACTGAAGGAATAGGTAGGGGTGGTCATGTAGCGTTGCAGGCCACACTTGAAGGTGCCGAGCTGATCCCTGTCACGGTTCCTGGATCTGGCATCTTGTCCGCCGCCAGTGGGAGACCATGTAACCTCGATAATCCCCTCCCAGTCACTTTCCACCCCCGCTCGAGACGTCAAGTGCCATCAATGCTTCTTGGGTTTTCTCGGGGACAAACGCTTTGGCGGTGACGGGAAATCCACGCCGACAATGATACTGAGTTGAATAGCTGTGGAGTAGAATGAGTCCACGTTTCTACCGCTGGAGAGAAACTCATTTCTTGGCTCGGCCGAGTGGGATGGATCGAGAAGAGTGGAAGATTTATTGATGACAATATCGATGACTTCGCATATCGTTCAATGACGACAATTGACGAATGGCATGAAAGTCGCTTAAACCCAGCCTGCTTGCCTCAGCCGCAACACGCGGGTAACGTTATGCGTCTTGCGGGGAAAGATTTCGCCACACTCTGCGAATGATCTCAACTGGTAACAACAAAGGGAAACCGGGTTGCATCTGGTCGAATGGTACGGAGTAGGGCCACGCTGAATGATTGACCGTTTTACAAGGGTTTCGACAGACGCTGGGGAAACCCACCGTGCCCGAATAAGGTCGTCGAACGAGTCACGAACGACTCGTGGCAGCGAGGGATATATGTCTACAGATCGTATAGGTGGAGCCGCACTGGTCGATGGCGGGTCGGTTGGGATATTTCTTCTCTTTTAAGCCTCAGACAAGCTTCAAGTTCCACATGGCAATTGAAGGCGACTGGAAGCTATCGGGGATATGAGGGGGACTGTAGGTTCTTTTGCTGAGGAGATGAGTTGGTCCGGTCCGGTGACTTATTAGATGTGGTCCAGGCGTCGTGTTGCCCAATATTCTGATCTACTCGAGTCATGGTCTTCGGGTCCTACCGAAACGGCGGGTTCTCGGGGGCCTTCCGATGGGTTTTGATGAGGGCGACGAAGCGTGGTGAGGCGAGAATGCCGTAACACAAAGCGTCTGCTAACCCGGATGGACCATCTTGAGGCTGAAGATATCTCGAGCCAAGACGAAAGGAGAAGGACAACAGCTGACCAGGAAAACTTTCAAAGACCTCGTGTTCAGATCGTGAGTCAAGACCGACATGACTGTATGTATAGTATATTACACATCTAGATCTAACGAGAAACAGAGATAGAGAGAGGAATTGAGATGGGTATCACAAAGCTTTCCGAACATCGTAACAACTGTACGTGATAAATAATCGCCCTCCATAATACAAGTCAAGAGCAATTCGCCCTTTGGGGCTTTGTAACCCGGATCAAACAACCAGCCCAAGTTCGCTTTTCTTTTGAGTAACCATGAAACACATCAAGAAAGACATCACAAACATCGCATGCATCAACTAAAGTCCCACGATTCTCCCCACAACTCGTTCAAGTTCAATCCCAGTGCTTCAAGATTAAAGTCGGGATTGTATGACTGCGCCTTTGCCAACACACTGTCAGCGACGAGTGCTGGGAGTGCTGGGGAGAAGTCGTGGAGACTCACCTGCGGATCAATGGATGGTGGCATCCACGGCAGGGGTTGAGGCAGGAGCCCGTCCATCGCGTTCTGCGACGACGGGTAGCCCTGGAAGGAGAAGGGCGTCACCGACTGAGGAGGACGAGTTAGCCACTGTTCGGTTCTGAACGACGAAAACGACAACGGATGGGCGCGGTTGCTTACTTTTGGTCTCTCGGGAACTTCCAGCCCGGGAATCTTGGACAGCTCTGATGGCTGGCTCGATACCGGAGGTTCCTGATTCGCCAACAGCTTGTAGTGCAGGTTGACGAAACGTTCCGCAGACGATGCTTTGGCTTGTTCGGTGGTCTTTGTACCCAGGTGGGCTTCGAGAAGGCCGAGTGCCGAGCACATGATGGAGTAACCCCAGGGCTCGTTGTTGCCACAGCGGAGGATCCTGTCTTCCTTCATGTGGAGGCACTTCTCGAGGAGTTTGACGGTGTGTTGCGAGTTGATCATGATCATGTTTGTCGAGCCACGCGGCTGCAGCATAGTAACGCTGCAGAGGTTGACGGCCGTGGTCAGCGCGTCCTCGCGGAGGAAGTTGAGGCTGCGAATACCCTGCTCGTAGAGCTTGTCGTGGAGCAGGACAATGTCTCGGGCGGCGTTGTAGTAGATGATCTCGGAGTACTGGTACTTGGCGTTGGATTTGCGAAGCTTCAGGAAAGGTTGGTGGAGGGGAACGATGTACTGGCGGAGTTGGATGTGGAGCAGAGTGTAGGCAAGAAGAGGTCTCTTGCCGCCGTGTGTGTTGTTGCTGTTGTGCTCCCAGGAGGGAAGGGAGTCGATTTCGTGCGTGATGTCGTTGGTGTAACGGATGACTTGGTCATAGTCCAGGTCTCCAGGCGGGCCGCAAAGGAGGCGGCTCAACTCCATGCGCAGCGGCAGACTCTGGCGGGCCAGATTCTGGTAGGAGGAGAAAGTGTACTCCTTGCCGTGCTTGGAAGGCGGGAGCTGCGTCGTGTCTTCGTCAAAGTCCTCGTCGTCCAAATTTCTTGGTGGCTGCACATCGTAGTGTAACTGGCTCACAAGCGTGGGCAGTCCGTGATCGAAAGAGGCTTGCATGTCAAACTCTTGCACTGTCGCCCAGATCCTCCGTCTCATCTCCTGGTTGTAGACTGAAATCTTGCTGGCCCCCATGATGCCGGGTTCCCGGTGCAGTCCGACGGAGATGCCGTCCTGGATAAGAGCGCCGGAGTTCGTCCAGAAGCGCTTCTTCTTCACGGTGTTGACCCGCTTGGCGAGATACAGGAGGCAAGCAATCTGGTAGTGGATGAGCTTTCGGTGCTTCACACTCTGGTGATCTTGCCAATTTTCAACGGCCTTGATCCACTTTTCAGCGGCATTCTGGGCGTTGGAAATCATTCCAGTGAACCTCAAAGATTCGTGGGTGTGGATGCAGTTTGCTACTGCGCAGATGGAAAGGACGAGAGCGGTAAGTGCTGCGTAGCGGGATTCGGTTGGGTTCTCCCAGAACTCTGAGTACTCTCTGCGGAAGGTGGGAATGTGAATGATGCGGTGCATTTGCTCGAATTGGTCAATGTAGACCTCGAGCAAAGCATCGCAGTGCTCC